AGTTCAGAATATTCTTCAGCATATGTATCTACTAATTGTTCAGAATTGTTCATTAGATCCTGAGGAGTAACCTTATAACTTTTTATTATCTCAAATATGGAAACATTACAAGACTCATGTGGAGGAAACCTAAATCAAATGGAAAGTAGGTGCACCATGAATTAGTGTGTGCTGCCCACTCATTGCGCAATCAGAAGTTTTTTTTAATAACAAACTGAACATTTATATGCAGTTCTAGACGGTTTCTGGCTGACGATTTTATGTGCAAAGCTGTACGTTGTTTGACAATACGAATTTATCCAGTGAAGGAAAAATGTTTTGTTTTACTTGTCACTAAGTGGAACTTTTTTTTAAAAAAAACTGAAATGGTATTTTTCACTTGCTGAAAAAAGTTTACTTGAAGGATAACTGGAAGAAACTAACCCTGAAGGAGAGTGAAGTGCCTTTGGTATGGTGAGGGGCTGTTCACTAAGAGTAGGTGAGAGCTGCAGTCCGTCAGGCGGTGTTAGCAAGCAGAGAAAGGCAGTGCTGAGGGCTGGTAATGATGGGAGAAACAAACTGATGCTTGTGAACTGCCAAGTTGCTTTGTTCCTTCGGCTTAATCCAAGTTGGAAAGTAACGGGGCTCCAAGTTGACAACTGGAATTATCCAATCCTGGTTCAGCCTCATGCAGTGTAGTGGTTAGAACACTCGCCTCGCAAGTGAGAGGACCTGGGTTCGATTCCCGGCATGGGTGAAACGTTTCCTTACTCCACGCACTTCTGTTTACCTAGCAGTAAGCAGGAACCCGGATGTTAGTCAATTGACGTATCGCTTTTCCAGGGGTAATAATCGCTTGAAATTTTTTTTTGAAATAATAATTTGGTCACTCAATCCACAAGTGTTTGTGGGACACTGCTGTGCCGCATTTTGCCCACAAATCAATTCGCTTTACAGTATTTTCTGTGAAGCGCTTCGAGACATCTCAAAGATATAAGGCAAATGCAAGGATTATTGTTATTTAATTTCTCTGTTTTAGATGATTTCAGATCGTGAAATGTTTTAAGTGACTGAGGCGCATGAGCGCAGTCGGTTTGTAGAACAATGATTCCAAACTGCAGCTTCTCTTTTCCTTTTTTTGATAGATACCTTCTGATAATTCTTGTTTGCATGGACCTATCAACTTATGTGTCTTCATTATTTTTTCTTACTCCGCATCCTGTCACTTTTGAGACACTTTATTAAAATGCATCCAAATGATTACAGTGTTAATATAAAACCGCAAGACATACCACAACAGGTGTTGTGTCACAGTCATTTGAAGTACTGGCCCTATGGATACCCAGTTAAGCCACAAGTTGAACTTCGATTCTCATTGTGGTAAATGAGGATCCTTTTACAAGAAGGCCTTTATATATTGTATTTATCAAAACTTGGCCAATGATTTAAAAGGACCTGAAGCAATCTCCAGAAATGGGATTAAGGTCATTTTATATACAAATGACAGCGGTGCCACTGTGCAATTGTTTTAAGAAGGGTCTTTCACACTGCACAGCACATATCAGGGAGTCGCAATGGCTTGACTTTTTTTTAAATCCCTTTTTAAGCTCAATGTTGTTTGCCACAGGACTGACATGGTCTAAATACTTTGCTTTTCCAAGTTAAACAAATGGGATACAATGCAAGTCTTACAATAACGAAACCCAAGCTATCCGTATACCTTCAGTTGTGAAACCCTGTTTTGCGTGTATTTGAGGAGGTTGACTTAGGTATTCTCCAAAACATTAGCATCATAAATCACGATTGCACAAAATACATTGTGTTGATTTCTCGCCGACTATGCCATTTGTTTTAGATACAATTTTTTTCTTCCACCCATTTGGGTCCCTGTATAGACGTCCGTTTCTCAGTCAAAAAGGACGTTTCTCAGTCAAGAGTGACCTACTCCAGACATCTGCAAATACTGCTTTTAAATCGTCACAAAACAATGTATGAAAGCAGCTCACTTTCATACACTTTGAAACATCTTCTTTCCTTGCTCTGTGCTCCTTCAATTGGGGTTTTGTTTCTGCACTGTATTCCCTTGTCATCACTTGGACACGCAGCTGACCNAAAAAAAACTCCAAAAGAAAAGGTTAAAGCCGACGAACCACTCAGTCAATATAAATCTCAAATTATTTTTAATAGGAAAATGACCTAAATTAATATTTTGTGTTCCTTGTCAACAAGATGCAGTCTAGTGATGCAGTTTAAGTAATTTAATAACGTAAACTGTTCCAGTGCACCCAATGATTTTTTTTTAAGTGCTGTTTCAACTTCTGGTCTCTGTGGTTTCCCTGTGAAAGTAACTTAGTGGTAGTTTCAGAAATATTGGTCAAAGTATCAGCATTTCTCCTAATATGGGAATGTTTTCTTGGTTAAACTTTTATGTACAGTATGTTGAGACGCATTAATTATATATACGCCCACAAAGAAGGCAGGAGAAATTCCACAAGGGAATCAGTATTGTCATTGGCTTTATTCAATTTTCTGAAAAGCTTCATTTTATGTCATTGAGCTCTGCAACTCAAACCACCTCAAAAATAGTCTTGACAAGATTCTTCAATTTCTTCCTGAAGTACTTTTCCTAAAGTGACAGAGGATCTGTTATGCCAACTTCAATTGAATCTAATCCAATGTGTCTGGTCAAAGTTCTATCAACGCATTGCTTGCACTGCCTACGTTTGGTCGAACTTTTCTTGCCTCATTAAGGTACGACTGGGCAGCAAGAGAAAATGGAGCAGTTTCCAGTTTACTACCTATGTTGAGCCACTTTGAAATGTTCATGGTTCAGTTCTCATGGGAGAAAAAAATCACCTCTTTTCGCTTGGCTGGATTTCAGACTAGAAATCAAAATTTAACTCGTGTCCAATTTAGATGCTTCAATACCTGTGTGGGATTTGTAGCTTAAGATGGTTGAGCGAGTCCTTGACTGCCAACCAAAAAAGTCAATAACCCAAGTAGCAGAACCACACACCACTCAAGACTTACCTCATCTTTTTTATTCAGTTTAGGAATTGAATGGAGCTCTTCTGTCAATTCACAAGTATGATCAGACAAGAGGCCAGTGTTCTGTGATTCTCTGACCAGCTCTAGGACTTGGACTGAAGTAAACAAGAGATGGACTACTTTTTGTTTCTATATGAATGTTTATTGCCTTCATATAGAAACAAAAACTTGACATCTCGCTTCACTTACTTAATACTAACAAATAGAGAGCTGTTTAACACTAGTTCCATCTTTTCTTTTCATGACTGAATAAGGGATGAGGACATGCAATAACTACTCCTTGGTATATTGTGTACTATTGCTGGCAAATCACACCAGTTCTGGCATTATTTAGGCCAACGTTATACACACCATTCAGGGGATTGAAAAGCACAGAGAATGTCTGCCCTGACCGTGTTTGTTTTTAAGTTCAAAATGTACCTTTCCTTATCCTGTCTCCAAGTGAAACTTGAGTATGCAGGCAAAGATCTGCTGGCGACGAAACTCCATATCTGAGAGCTCAGTTGTTAACCTTAAGGAAATAATTCAGACATACAACTCCAGTACTTTAATCATCAGACCAAACGCTTCCAGTTGCATTTTTAAGTGTCATATTTTGATAGAGATTGTTTATCGAAGTGGCAAGACAATGAAGTGGCTTTGATCCCTGCTCTATTGAATTATTTCTATGTGTTGCTACAAGGAAAAGGGAAGGGTAGGAGTTGGCAGGAGCAGGTCGTAAGGAAGTTATTGCCAGTTTGTCAGGAAGTCCACCCAACCTCTCGGCTGCAGAAGGTCTGAGACCTGGAGATGAAGTAAAGGAGAGAGATTAGTTTTTTGTTTCTATATGAAGTTCTATTAACTTCGAATACAAAACAAAAACTCGACGTTTCACTTCATTTGATTAAGAATGCTAACAGATAGATAGCTGTTTAACGCTCATTCCCACATGTCTTGTATGTATACCACCTTCATGCTTCATTTTACTGCTCACCTTCTGTGCTTTCACAGTTTCGTTTTGGCAGCTAAGGTTTTTTTTCCCCGCTGCTGCCTTGCTATCTTTAATTTTGTGGGTGTTTATTTTACAGGAACGTTTCGTTTTAAAATTGCCTTTGAATAAAATCACATGTTAATTGAATTGATCAAGAGAAGAAACAGGAGAGCAATGAATGAAAATAAGTAGTTGATTATTTGAAAACATAGTGTAGTCTTTTACCCTGCAAATTGGTCTTTATTTAGGAATCCACTGCTGTGCCTACAAAATACACCGTCAATCCACTTTATAGTATATTCTATGAAGCGCTTTGAGATGTCTCAATGATGTGATGAGGTGCTATAACAAATGCAAGGATTATTATTATTATTTTGACTTGATGTGGTTGCACCCTACATCTCAGTGATTGCCTGGTGTGATGATCACCATAGCGATGCCCATTTTATTCCCTCGTCTTGGTGCATTCTCAGTTTTTCAAAAGAACAGATACATGCATTTACCTCCAAATTTTATAATTGGATAATCATCAATATCAAATAGGTGAATCCACTAAATTCCCTTGTTCATAGTCAATGAAACCATGTGTAAAAATGTGCTGCTCCTTGGGGAACAGATAATTCTAAGACTGAAGTGGCTAGGAATTCAAAGAGGGGCGTTTTAACATACTCCATAGCTTCATAATAATAATAATAATCCTTGCATTTGATATAGCACCTTATCCGGTCTTTGAGACATCTTAAAGCGCTTCACAGAATATACTGTACAGTGAATTGACTGTATTTTGGGCAAAACACTTACCATAATGATTACCAAGGAGTTAATGTGCTTTTAACCACCCAAACGTGCCTAAGCTTTGTGGCAATCAGAAGGAATCCAAAATGGGTGTAAAGATCTTTAAAAGTGAATATTGTGTGTATTTATTTCGATTTTTTTTGAATTCTTAGATTGCTCAAATGAAAAATGAAGTACAAAACTTGTGTGTTTTTTTTAATATCAATAGATGGACCCCAGATTCAGGAGCAGCCTCACTTGACTTTTCCAGACCATGTGGAGTTTGTGAACCAAGCCGATTCCTCAAACACGATGGCAGAGCCTGGTGCCCACAAGAGCAGTGTACCCCGGGTCACTGAATCTGAAGCAACTAGTCTGGCTCCAAGCTTGACCCCTGCCCACCAGCCAACCATATCCCTTCTTTCTGATGACAACACTGACGCATTAAGTGTGGAGTCACTGACTCTTGTCCCACCTGCCGATGCACAGCATATCCGAAGTGTGAGCACTTTATCCCAGAACTCCGTCTCTAATACTGTGCGAGAAAACGAGGACACTGAAACAACCGAGTCACCAGTCAATCCCACAGAGTGAATGGAGAGTAACTTCTCATCCTCCTGGGTTTGTATAGACTGACGCATTTCTCTAAAACAAGGGAGCTAAGCCTCTAGTCTTAATGCTAAGCAGAAGATGTAATAGGTCTGCAGAGGCCTACAAAGTAGGTTTACTGCTTGTAAATGTAGTTTCCTGATTGATCAAATGGTAACAGATGTGCAGTTAAAATGCAGTTTTCACTGTTCAGTTAAAACCCATTGGTATAGTTTCAGTAGTGAAGCAGATTCATCAATAAAGTGCTGTCCATTGATTAGGATTGGATAAATACCACCTCCATTGACCCTGCCCTTTCAACAAAGGGATTTTAAGAGAAAGGTGCATAGTGCTGGCCTATATTTCTTCAACTCCTGTGTCGTTCTGTTACTGTATTCACCCACTTGACTATTATCAGGCTAATTTGTTTTGTATGAAACTGTTGGTAGAAAAATATTTGTTATGGCTTTAAGGCCACCCAAATAAATCATTAAATGTAGGTGGTTTATTAATGATGAGGATTGGAAAATGGAAAATGAATCCACTAACTTATCGTAACAGAGTAAAGATAGGGGTACCAAATGCCCCACTCATAAACTACAGCTCATTTTAAATAGACCTTGGTGTTAGTCCTCGTTTTACTGTATTTAAAGTATACACACATACACAAAATATTGTTTGTTGTTCTGGCAATGACAGATGCTTTAATTAAGTATAATAAACTGGGAAGAGCGAGCGGTGATGTGCTGGGAAGTCAAAACTTAAAAATACTTTCCTGTTACCAGAGGGTGGTTCAAAGAATTAACAAGGGTGAGTATTCTTGAGTGGATGATTACTATAGATGCCACTCGTGTATGTTGTATGGACAACACAGTACTGATTAGTACTTGGGGACTGAGTGCGGATTTTTAAACTACACTTTTACTGGTTACAAGAATGAGCTACACAATTTACACAAGGCTAAATTGAGATCACTTTGGGTTCACCATTCGATTTGGTGATTCTTGTAGCAAGTTGTTGCTCTTAATTTGTCTCATTCCCCCTTTTCCAAACACCGGATAATTCACACCACTGGATAGATAATTTCTCACTGACACCTCCTGTTTCAAATGTGTTCCATTATCGATAGAGATGAAGAAGAAAAAATAGGTTCAGAAGAAAATTCAACAAATTTGAGATTGTGTATATTGAGTGGAATGAATAGAATTTATCCCACATGCCTATGATTTGTTTCATCCATTTGTCACACTTTTTTAAGCCGTTTTTAATGGGAAATCTGAGCAAGGCTTACAAAGCTGGCAGGATTGACTCTGAGTAGAAGATGGGGATTCAATGGGAAAATGCAACTAATTGTTGAATGATTTAAACCTCATTGGTAGGTCAGCAGTAAAGGAAGGTGTGTTTGAAATTTTCTGCAAACAGAAAAGGCATTTTAGAAGGCAGTTTAGTATGTAACTGAGAAGTAGTTTGTGGTATGTTTATACATCAGTGACATCAGGACCCAGTCTCTTGAGGTAAACTGTACATAAGTAAATTCTCAGGAAATCAGCAGTGGCTTTTAATGGTAGGCTTATCAGTTTCTAGGAGCTCATTAAGATAAAGATTTATGCAACAGACTTGATTGACTTTTCCTCTATTAAATAACCACATTGACCAGTTCTGATGCAAACAATGGTTCCTTTTTGAATTCTTTATTGAAAATTGCACCATACATTAGTTCAGCTTTTGACATAGTTAAAATTGATCCGATTTGCCACTATAGACCCTAATTTGAAACACTTCTTTCTGAGAATCTGGCATTGATATGAATCACACTGATAGCACTGGTCACAAGGGCAAGGTGAGGTGTAGCAGTTAATTGTACAATGATGTTGCTTCCACTGGAGTCATTGTTTTATGTCATGTGAGTTTTACTCTTGTTCTGTCAGTTATCAATCCAAACTTTAACCTGCTAAACTCCAATCTAAAATAAAGTTCACAGAACTATCGGAGTAAAATAAATTAAATGGGTAATGTGTTCCATGAACAAAAACATTGTGGCTGACTTCAGTCGAGAAGATTATTGTTTTATAAGGTAACTACTATTGCCACCCAAGAAACAACATAACAGCTACATCCAAGGTCAACACTTACTTCCTGATGAATCAAACATTCACCTTACGGTACATTGTGGGGAAAAAAATTCCCAAACCACATTTCCTGAAGTGTTGAGATGACATTAGGTGACCTCACCAGAGCTAGTGCAACTACCACACAAGTAAACATCTGCCCCATTTTATTTATTTAAGACTTAAAAATAGCCTAGCAGGAATATTTTAAAGAGTTTTGTGGTCTCAATGTGAAATTTCGCTTTGTAGTTTGCAGCATTTAAATACTTCAAGAATCCAAGCACTAGAATCAGTTCACTTGTTGATTAAAAATATTGGCCTAACAAATTCTATAAGTCGTGCTGATTACCTATCCTGTGTTTGTGAGCATCACCACAAAAAGCTACTTACTGTTTGCTCGTAATATCATGACCACTCGTAGAATTAATTTCTGTATTTCAAGATTAAAGGTAGATATGGGAATGCATTTGCCGTTGTTAAAAAGTACCTTCAATATGCTGCAGTTTCTGCGTATCATTCGTACAATGTTATGTTCATCCAAAAATATATAACTACGTATTCAACTGATATGACACGTCAAAATCTACTCAATAAGTAGAGGACACCATCACTCCATTACTGGTTACACCAATAATCCAATCGGGTTAATTTGTAGGTTTAGTGTCTATTTTACTAAAATGGCTTAAGGAAGCCTGTGCTTAATTTGCTGAGGAATGACTTGCTGAGATTTCTTGTACTTATTCAAGACGTAAGTTGGCAAACTTACCCCAGGTTTCTGTTGAAATGGAAGCAGGAATTTCAAGTTAACAAAGTTTCTGTTTTCATTTCTCAGTTAGCTGGCCACCTTCATATGCCACCTGTCATTGCACGAGCAGGAGCAAGGCATAGAAACAGTCCTATACCTTGGAGTCTACTCATCCACACCAACGTGAATGTCTCTTATTGCAAAACATGGATCTGAAATCTCAGACCTACAAACTAAGGATCGATCAAAGAGCACAAACTGACAATGTTTGCATGTTTGCTTTTTAATAACGAAGCCGTACAGTTGGTGGCATGTTAAGAATTGGGGAACAAAAATACATTTTGCACTTTCATGTTTTTCTCTCCCTCACTTACATAGAACTTAATTCCAATTCCAAGGAAAGGTGAGTTTTTTCACACACATTAAGAAGTGCATGGCTGATGCCTTTCAGCTCTCTTTAGCATAAAGGGCTCTCAAGATTACACTCGAAGCTTGGAAATCCTCCCATCATATATTCTAAAGCTATGTCAGAGACACTGGAGGAAGAATAAATGGAATACTTCCTACATTTTTAGGCATAAACAGAGTCTCCCCCTCAGTCTTGACAATGCATGTATTGTTTGTGCTCAGGCTAAACTTACACAGGCTGTATAGGGAGTAAGGCATCATACCTGGGGTGAATCTCCTTACCCCTAACATCATTAGTTTGTAAGCCATTGATAGCAAACAGAAGAGATTAAAAAACATGAAGTCTGTCAGAGTGTAAATGTTGGTGCTAATTTATCATTATTTGAGGCCAGGTGCAATAAGGTTGAGGTCATTCTCAGTGGGGGAAGAGATTATACCCCACAATATCTGAAATATTGAATTTGGACAATGGTCAAATAAACAGCTGGAGGCTTTTGGCAGTTTGATCAGAGCCATCCAGGGAGACTTGCTGTTCTCATGGGAACCACTGATTAAGAGACCACAGAAGGCATCAGTTCTTTGAGTTTGAGTTGCATTTTTCTGCCCAGGAAGTTGCGTTAATGAATGCTGATGTAAATATTAAGGTGCCTATTAAGTACAGTATATGTTACTCTTCTTGGAAGAGTTGATTGATACTGACATTCGACCCGTAACATGAACATGACCTTTTGCTGTTGCTTAAGAAACTGTGCACAGGTGTTGAAACTAATGTACTCCAGTAGTTGCACAATGAAGGCTATATTAATACTGCATATATACTTAAAATGTACAGGACACATTTCTCCCAAGAGCTCAGTGGGTTTTGTATTAATGGATTAAGATGACTGTTGTAAATATGCATTGTGTGTAGATTGTTTTAAAAAAAAGAATTTCTTTATATCAGATTAAGCAATACTAAGATATTTACACTGATGCGTTGTATTTTCCTTAGTGGTTTAGTTAAAGTACATCTTTACAGTATTTCAACCTGGATAAACGATTTCACTCCATGATCACCATCGGAATATGTAAAACAATTGTAAATTATATGTATATTGAAAATGGGTTACGTTTTGAGTCATTTGTTGTGTATGTATACATGCAGAGTGTTTCTCTTACTTGTGTTTGACGCAAGGTTCCTTTTATGATTGAGGCCTGTGTGGTGACTATACACTCAGGTAGCACAGACGAGGGTAAGTGGCCAGGAAACAACAGGAACACACAGAAATGGAACCCGTTTGTCATCCAAGCCACAGCAATAAATGTAAGATAATTTTGCATTCACTTGCGCGTTGCATTGTGTGGCTTACTTTTACCCTAGGGGACAGTTGTACTATTGAATTTATTGCTTGTTAGCTGTTCAGACAAGCTGAACAACAAGATTACACGTGTATAGCGCCTTTCACGTCAGGAGGACGTCCCAAGGCACTGGACAGTACAGCATTTCAGACCCGAGTTGGTGTCAGGAGGGGAAGGGGGGTGACCGATGGCATGGTCGAAGAGGAGGGTCTTGAAGGAGGCTAAGGAGGGGGCGAGGCGGAGTGATTGGGGATGGAATTCCAGAGGTGGTCTGGGGGCAGAGTGGCTGAAGGCTCTCCCGCCAATGGTGGGGTGGGTGAGTTGGGGGACGTGGAGCAGCCATGGAGGAAGTGGGTGGGTTGGTAGGGGGTTAGGAGGTCGCAGAGGTAGGGTGGGGTGAGGTCATGGAGGGCTTTGTAGGTGAGGACCAGGATCTTGAACTGGATCCTCTGAAGGATAGGGAGCCAATGGAGTCGGGTGAGAATGGGAGAGATGGGGTCACAGAGTTTAGTGCAGGAGAGGACACGGGCTGCAGAGTTCTGGATTACCTGCAGACTGTGGAGGGAGGAGTTGGGAAGGCCGACACTCAGGGCGTTTGCATAGTCGAGCCTGGAGTGATGAAGGCATGAACAAGAGTTTCAACGGCCTGAGGGGTGAGGTAGTGGCGGAGTCGGGCGATGTTACGGAGAAACCTATTTCCTATTGGGCATTTTTACAAATGGGATATACTATATGAACAGATCACCAAATTAGTTCACTTTTATTCATTCATGAATTCCAAACAATATCATTTACAGATTTCTCACAAGATCGGAGTGAACTACATAACTGTGTTCTTGGGTTTCCTTTAAATATAGGGTTAGAAATTCCAGTCCATGTCCAGGCAGGAACATTGCTAATATCAGCCTCCAATGGGATTTCTATATTATAGCTACACACCGTGGAACAATATAACAAACCACTGAAAAAGCAATGTGATCGTATGGATCCCAATTACACTCTCCGCTATCTGATACTACTTTTAAACACCTGTCTCAGTTTATCTCATGGAATTTGTGTCACACATCACACTCTGTCTGCCGCAGGTAACCTATTTGCTGGTCTCTGGAAAAGGAACTGAAAGGGTTGTTCTTAAAGGAGCCAAGCGCAGACATGACGTGAATTTCTATTGTTCTAATATTGCTGTTGCTAGGAACCGTGTGAAACGTGCAACTCTCCAGCTGAAGAGAACAAATACAATGCAGAATTACATCAGGTAACAGACTTGCTTATGAATTAATAAGAGCAAAATGCGCACTCCATGACCTGACTGCCTATAACCCCCACCGCGATCATCTTGTCTGCACAGTTCCTTTGAGGGATTGGAAAGCAGTTTACGATTCCTGGGCTGTGCCAGCAATTCAAATCACTGAAGTTATTGCTTTTTTTTTCCCCTTTGCTTTCTATCTCCTCAAGGACATCCAAATTTGCCTTCCATCCAGTGAACATCTGTTGTTGAGGTTAAAACCAGAGTAGAGTGTGCTTGAGTGCTGAAGTTCCTATAACAACATTGCACACTGCATGCAAACTGGTTGCAGAACCACAATCCTGCAAACTGTCGAGGCAAACAAAGCTTCCGGCTGTGAACCCAGTGTAGTGCGTGGCCACAGACTGTTTTACACTCACTTAACTCTTCGTAATTCCATTCTAGTCCGCTTACTGGGAGAGCGAAACGGGGCAGGTTCAGATAAATCAACCTAAATGCAGGATAAGATGGCAGGTTGGAGACATAGGGGATTTATGTTCGTGCATTTTGCACATTTGTTCTTAGAGATAAACATTCTAGTAAAGCAGACTGCTGAAGGAAAACCACGTTTTTATTTTAAACTGAAGTTTGCAGCACTACAATTGCAATAAGTCAGGATGAAACACTGACAGCAGTGACCTGACTTTTCTTTCACATCATTCTTGCAACAAACAACCTCATCACTTTATTACTTCTATACAGCTGGAGAGATTTGCCGTCATGTTCGAAAGTGCAGCGATTTGGAGCTGGGAACCCGATTGATATTATGCTGTTTGTCTCTGCAGTATTTGCTTACTGAACTCGAAGTATGAGCCTGGCTCAGTTGGGTAGCACTGTCACCTCCGAGTCAGAGGGTTGTTGTTCAAGCCTCACGTTGGGGACATTGAGGTCACAGTCTAGGCTGACAGGCCAAAGTGTTGCTGGGGAAACTGCATTGTCGGAGGTGCCGGTCTTCAGATGAGATGTTCTCTTCATCATTTCCAAATCAAAGCGTATCACTCCATTCTTACCCGTCTCTTGACTTCACAACTCTACCTCCTCGCCCAATGCTAACGGACACTGTCCATCTCTCTTTGTCCCCAACACAGTTCCCATCCCTTTTAAAACAGCTGTCATCACCCCCATCCTCAAAAAACCTTCCCTTGATTCAATCCATTAATACCCCTCTTGCATCTTACCACCCTCTTGGCCCCGACCCCCAGCTCAGGTGCAAATCCTCCATTTGTCCAGCACCTTGGGACGTTCTCCCAACACGTAAATGTAATTTGGTTAAACCGGGAACCGTCTGCCCATTCAAGCGGGAGGTGAAGATCCCGTAGCCCTATTTGAAAAGAGAAGGAAGTCCTGATGTCCTGGACAGCAATCCCCCAGGTAAAATAATTCAACAACAACTTGCATTTATATAGCCCCCTCACGCAGGATAGCGGCCCAGAGCACTTACATTCTGTTTTGGGGACGTGGCTGGCTGCTACGTTCGTCTATAAATACACAGGCACTACATACTTTACAGACACTTTGCCTGAAAACTCTTTGAAGCTCTGAGAGCTTTCAACATAATAAACCTGTCAGAACAAATACAAAGATTATTTTTATAGTTCTTCCCAATGCTTCATCTCTCTGCCCAAATACAGGTTGGGACCTGATCTGAATAGAAGCCCTTTGGCGTTAAAACCAATGAACTCTCGACTTATTAAAGTTTAAAAAAAAAGAGAAATAGCTTTGTGAGAATCCCCTGACAATATACCGCCTGGCAGCGATTCGGTTAGATTTTTCTTCCAGTTATGTTACAGAATAGGATGCGTTTAGGGGAATATTTATGATTTTAGTTTGAACCCACTTGATGTGGGAAAATTCCAATGGTGATCAAACATTCCCATCATAAACTTGTTTATGGCTGAATTTATGTCTGTGTCACATAATAACCAATAGTTATCTCATATGCTGTTGCAGTTCCACAGAACACACATCTCATCTCTTACCCTTCCCCCACTATTTCTACGTGTAGTTTAGCAGTAATACTGAAAGCCCCTGATATCAGAGGAATGGATGACAGAGCTTTGTTCCTCCAGTAGTAACCGAAATACACCTCATATAATCAGAAAGTCCCTGTTGTAATTCCTACTTTACAAGCTTTACCTGTGCCTTAGCGTTCATTTGTTTTCACTTTTGTTTCTGTTTTTCGCTTCCCTATTCCATCGTCCTTCAGTTTTATTATTTCTTATCTTTTCCAACGATTTTGGCCGTCAATCTGTATCTTCAAAGTCTGGTTGTTTCTGCCACCATCTATTTTTGAGGATGACTGTGTACTGTGGGGGTGTAAAGTCGATTCACTTTACAGTATATTATAATATATTTGAGACATCTCGATGACGTGATGAGGCGCTATATCAAATGCAAGGATTATTATTTATTATAATCTGAAAATTACTTTTGCAGCCCCTGAAGAACAGACGGTTGTTAGATACAGCCAGGCTGATGTCTGCTGTAATGATTCCAGTTCAAAAGCAAGAAGATGGGGGTCTATAAAAGAATAAATCTGTTGGTGGACCACCAAGGCAGATAGATCTCTTAGCACTGTGGGCCAAGGCGTTCACCTAAAAATGATAATCCTTGCGTCTGTTACAGTGCAGTCACTATAGAAGAGCCGTGTGAAAGGCGCTATGTAACTTCTTGTTAACATGGCATCCAGGAGAAACCCCTTTCTCTAATATGGGTTCTACCCGAACAGGCAGACAGGACCACGGTTTAATGTCTCATTCAAAAGGACGGCACATACAACAATGCAGCACACTCCCAGCACTGCCTTGGCACATCAGCCTCGACTGTACAAGCTCCAAGTTCTGATGTGGAGCTTGAATCTTCGACCTTCTGACTCAGGAGAGAATGCTAGCAACTGAGCCAGCCCGACAGTGAAACTAACTTCACTCCCAATCCAGTGTGCTACTCTGGTTAAAATGGTGATTCTACTCACCCAAGCTCAAACATAGGTGGAGTCCTGCAGCTCAGTGGTTAGAGCGCTCGCTTTGCAAGCGAGAGACCTGGGTTCGATTCCCGGCAGGGCAAAACCTTGGGCAAGTTTCCTTACTCCGCACGTCTGATAATAATCCCTCAAGAAAAAACAATAATAAATTGGTCATTTCAATCCATGACAGTTTGTGGGACACTGCTGTGCGTGATTGGCTGCCGCATTTCGCCCACAAATATACAGTCAATTCACTTTACAGTCTATTCTTATCTTTTCCAACGTTGCTTTGAGACGTCGAGAAGACATGAAAAGCGCTATGTCAAATGCAAGGATTATTATTATAGGTGAAAGCTCTATAAGGTGGGAGATGATTCCCGGATGAGAAGCATTGATAAGTACTGACACAAATCGTTTCATTATTGGAGTTTACAAGACCAATGTATGGAAGATTTTTTTTCATACTAATGGTGGAGTTAGCTTTCTGTTCAGTGGGTTTAGCAGAACTGATTTGTTTTATTTTTACATGACTGAGCAAATGCAATTAAATTATTTTGTTTGAAACTCAAAGCAAACAGGATGGTAGGCTACATTACCAAATCAGTTGGCTTCTGATCCCCAGATGTTATATTTAAGCCGTATAGTGAGGTCAGGCCTTAGCACCTAGACAGTCATCATGACATAATGGAGTATCATTCCCCTCCTATCAAGGCCTCGGGGGCTTGTTTTCAGGAAGCA